CCATGGTACTCTGATCCAAAGGATCCTGCTTTAATCCTCCCTTGGCTGCTTTCCTCAGATATCCAAGAGGCCTCCAGCCATTCATCTGGAGAGGATGCAAACTGCTTTTACTTCCTGTCTCCAGGCTTCTGCCGAAACAGACTGGCTTAGTCATATGCAAACAGTCCTCAGGAACGTTACAAAAAGGATCACATCAATTCTTGCAGCACATCCTTTGAAGCATTGTGGGGAGTGGCTGGCGAAGGTCAGATCTCTTGGAGGCCAGGATCCAGGCCCCGGCAGGAGATCCCCAGAAGTCTTTTCTGCCGAGCGCCAAGCATGATGGCATACCTTTTAGGATGCTTGCTGCTCAGGTTACCAGGCAATACAGGGTTTACCTCTGGCTTGTAGGGGTTCACAAGAGTGTGGAAGGGCTAGTCTGGACTGGGAGAACTTAAAATGTTTTCTGAGGCCAGGGTTTGGGGTAAGGAGAATCTCTGCAGAGAGAGACCACAAAGTGTGGGGGGATCCCACTGTTCTGAATGTCCCCAGTTCTTAGCCCACCCATGGCCAAGGAAACCACTGCAAAATATTCTGCGGAGGAACAGCTATGGAAGGGGATGAATGGCCTTGGGGTTAAAGGTCAGGAGACCTGGATTCATTTTTCAACTCAGCCACAGACTTCTTGTGTGACACTGGATAAGACACTGAGTCTCTCTATGCCTAAATTCCCCCATCACAATACTTCATTTCTCCTGCCCTCTAGCTATCTTCTCTATTTAGACTGTAAGCTCTATGGGGCAGGGACTATATGTATGTACAGCACCTAGCACAAAACGGGGCCTCTAAGAGTACATCTACACTGCAGCTAGGAGCAAGGGTCCCAGCCCAGGTAGACAGACTTGTGCTTGCTCAGCTGGAGCTAGCTCACTAAAAGCCCACCCAACTTCCTGGGTCTGAACCTGGGTGGCTAGCTTGTCTCTCCACCGGAGCCATGATGTCCACACTGCTATTGTTAGCAACGCTAGCTCAAGCTGATCCAGTGTGAGCCCGTCTACCTGTGTTGGGAAGCTTGCTCCCTGCTGCAGGGTATACATACCCTAAGCACTACTGTAATGTAAATTAAATAATAACGAGAGGATGAACATGGGTATACAGGAAAAAAGAAAGAGTCCGATTTGAAGGCCAAAGTTTCTCAACCTGATTCTTTGGTCCTAAATAAGGATGACGTATATGAAGTGTGGAATTAAGCTCTTGGCTTTCAGGGAGTGCAACCAGACCAGTGTGAGGAAATTGTTCTGGAGGAGCCACCGCCCTCTTCCCCACCAAAGACCTTATATCTGCACCTAGTACAACTGAAAAGAGCTCGAACAAACTTTGGTGCACAATCATAGAATCATAGAATATCAGGGTTGGAAGGGACCTCAGGAGGTCATCTAGTCCAACCCCCTGCTCAAATCAGGACCAATCCCCAATTAAATCATCCCAGCCAAGGCTTTGTCAAGCCTGACCTTAAAAACTTCTAAGGAAGGAGATTCTACCACCTCCCTAGGTAACGCATTCCAGTGTTTCACCACCCTCCTAGTGAAAAAGCTTTTCCTAATATCCAACCTAAAACCTCCCCCACTGCAACTTGAGACCATTACTCCTTGTCCTGTCCTCTTCTACCACTGAGAATAGTCTAGAACCATCCTCTCTGGAACCACCTCTCAGGTAGTTGAAAGCAGCTATCAAATCCCCCCTCATTCTTCTCTTCTGCAGACTAAACAATCCCAGTTCCCTCAGCCTCTCCTCATAAGTCATGTGTTCCAGACCCCTAATCATTTTTGTTGCCCTTTGCTGGACTCTCTCCAATTTATCCACATCCTTCTTGTAGTGTGGGGCCCAAAACTGGACACAGTACTCCAGATGAGGCCTCACCAATGTCGAATAGAGGGGGACGATCATGTCCCTCGATCTGCTCGCTATAGAATCATAGAATCATAGAATATAAGGGTTGGAAGGGACCCCAGAAGATCATCTAGTCCAACCCCCTGCTCGAAGCAGGACCAAATCCCAGTTAAATCATCCCAGCCAGGGCTTTGTCAAGCCTGACCTTAAAAACCTCTAAGGAAGGAGATTCTACCACCTCCTTAGGTAACGCATTCCAGTGTTTCACCACCCTCTTAGTGAAAAAGTTTTTCCTAATATCCAATCTAAACCTCCCCCACTGCAACTTGAGACCATTACTCCTCGTTCTGTCATCTGCTACCATTGAGAACAGTCTAGAGCCATCCTCTCTGGAACCACCTCTCAGGTAGTTGAAAGCAGCTATCAAATCCCCCCTCATTCTTCTCTTCTGCAGGCTAAACAATCCCAGCTCCCTCAGCCTCTCCTCATAAGTCATGTGTTCCAGACCCCTAATCATTTTTGTTGCCCTTCGCTGGACTCTCTCCAATTTATCCACATCCTTCTTGTAGTGTGGGGCCCAAAACTGGACACAGTACTCCAGATGAGGCCTCACCAATGTCGAATAGAGGGGAACGATCACGTCCCTCGATCTGCTCGCTATGCCCCTACTTATACATCCCAAAATGCCATTGGCCTTCTTGGCAACAAGGGCACACTGCTGACTCATATCCAGCTTCTCGTCCACTGTCACCCCTAGGTCCTTTTCCGCAGAACTGCTGCCTAGCCATTCGGTCCCTAGTCTGTAGCTGTGCATTGGGTTCTTCTGTCCTAAGTGCAGGACCCTGCACTTATCCTTATTGAACCTCATCAGATTTCTTTTGGCCCAATCCTCCAATTTGTCTAGGTCCCTCTGTATCCTATCCCTGCCCTCCAGCGTATCTACCACTCCTCCCAGTTTAGTATCATCCGCAAATTCGCTGAGAGTGCAATCCACACCATCCTCCAGATCATTTATGAAGATATTGAACAAAACCGGCCCCAGGACTGACCCCTGGGGCACTCCACTTGACACCGGCTGCCAGCTAGACATGGAGCCATTGATCACTACCCGTTGAGCCCGACAATCTAGCCAACTTTCTACCCACCTTATAGTGCATTCATCCAGCCCGTACTTCTTTAACTTGCTGACAAGAATACTGTGGGAGACCGTGTCAAAAGCTTTGCTAAAGTCAAGAAACAATACATCCACTGCTTTCCCTTCATCCACAGAACCAGTAATCTCATCATAGAAGGCGATTAGATTAGTCAGGCATGACCTTCCCTTGGTGAATCCATGCTGACTGTTCCTGATCACTTTCCTCTCATGTAAGTGCTTCAGGATTGATTCTTTGAGGACCTGCTCCATGATTTTTCCAGGGACTGAGGTGAGGCTGACTGGTCTGTAGTTCCCAGGATCCTCCTCCTTCCCTTTTTTAAAGATTGGCACTACATTAGCCTTTTTCCAGTCATCCAGGACTTCCCCCGTTCGCCACGAGTTTTCAAAGATAAACACAACCTTCAAGGCCTCCGCTTGACACTGACCCATTCCCTCCCTCCCTCCCTCCGACGCCCCCATCTCTGACTACGTGCTTAGCTTGGAAAACTCCACAGAGGCTGCCAAATTAGGAAGTTCTAAACTCCAACAACCCCCCACCCCAACCCCTTTGTTATTGTCACTGCAGTAACAATTCAGCTCAGCACCAGGTGCTAGGTTCATTATTGTCCGTTCATGTTTCTAAATCTACCCAATCCAGGATGGAAAAATAGCAACCCTTCATTGTTACAACTTTATTTATAGTCATCATCTCTTGGGGGAAAAACAAAGGCCAGCGCATCACAGATCAGCTGGGAGATATTAAATTGTTATTATTGGCCCCAAACCTTATTCAGGAAAGACACCAACTGAAAGCAAAGGGAGATCTGCCCAAGTACAGACTTAAGAGTCTGCAGGATCTGGCCCATTATTGTTGTTTACTATGTACCTGCACACAGAGGATCCCTGCACCAGGGGCTTCCAGTGTAAAGGCTCCGTTCATACGAGGTGATGCTGGGTCAAGTAATTGCACTGGGAGGTGCGTGGGGAGAAATTATTGCAGACATTTACTGGGTAACCCTTGCTTTTCCCTTCAAACCAGCTCAGTTCTGATGGATGGCACTTTAAGACTCAGAGCCCCAGCATACTCATCTCCAGCTGCTGCCTATACTTCTGTTTGATGGAGCAAGCAGCAGGCAGACAACTCCAACTCTTCTCTTTCTATCCAAGCCAGGACGTACAGTGCACTAACATGGCCACAGGAAGGATCTTCTCTCCTTTACCCCTTTATTTTCATGCATGGCTGGGTCATAACCTGGCCCTAACTCAGATGCATACAATACAGTTTGAACAGATACACTGTATGAAAGGAAATGCTGCTTGCTAGTAGACTTGTTCATCACACCTCTACTGGCAGAGCATAAAGCCTGCCTGTGAATCAGGCACCTTGAATCAGTGCACTCCAATATTACAGGGATGAGGCAGTATAAGAACCTGCATCGCATGGCACAGCACAGCAATCAGAAGAGTTGCATCACTTTTTTATAGTTAAAGGAGCATTGGATGAAAAAGTTTCGCTCTCATTTAACTTTAGCAAGTTAAAACTATACACACACATAAGGTGCCTGGCAAAATGCATGAAAGCCATATGGCACTTGATAAAACATTGACTGTAATTGCACAAAGAGATCCTGCTTTTTCAGTCTCTAACCCTGCTACAAGTCTGAGTAGCTTCTTATTTTTACAAAGCACTGACCATAATGGACATACTCTCACTTAATCTGAAGGTCATGTGCACTATCAGAGAAGCTGCTATTTTTCAGTGGATAGAAATGAAACACTAAACTAATCGGCTACAAGATATCTGCCCAGTCAGTAAAATATCTGTCATTTAGCCCCAGACACTTATTTAGTGGTGGAAAATCACACCCCTTCTACAATACCAGTTTTGGGAGAAATTAATAAATTAAATCAAATCAGGAGTAGGGTATACCTGGAGAAATTAGAAAGGGGAGGAGTTCACCTTCCTGACTACGGCTATCAGGACTGACCACGACTACTTACTCCTGTATAAAAACTCCCAGAGCAGAAATATGATCACATCCTAATTGATTCTAGCCTCCTCACTCATCTTATCTAGAATAGGAGATAGATAATGGAATTGATTTTCCTTGTTCTGCTCTCTCTGCACACTGCCAAGACAGCAACAGAAGGTAAGAAGACCATGCTGTTCTTCCCACCCCTGGGTATCAAGGTTATTCATATTTGATTATTTGAATTTTGAATACCACTGAATTCTGTTCAAACTCTTTAATCCTTCTATATGATAAATCTGAGGTATTTGTTTGTTTGTTTCTCTCTCAGGTCATTTATGGGTTGGTATCACAAGTGGATTTATTCTGACTGTTTTATTTTACCTTTATGGTTACAGTATTTTTTCACCCCAAGAAAATCCATCAGGTTTTACTTTACCTCTATATGTAATTATAAATGTCAAAGATTCCGTAAAAATGTATTTTCTTTGCCTATGTACTATGCTGATTTAAATGGCATACAACTATAGGTAGCCTAATTATTTTATTTTTCTTCTAATAATGCTAAGAAATAATGTAAGAAATGAAAGAATTCAGGTTCTTTGTCTTATGCTACTTTAGCCTGATAGAGCCATATATTTGTTTAAAAATTAACAGACATTTATAGTTCTCTTTCTTTCTTTAATTAAATTTTTGCTATCCACTGATGATGACTGTGTTAATACCAGATAATGATCTATCATCAGCACTGCAAAAATTTCAGATGGCTTTTGTACGCTTATATTGGATCAGGAATGCAGTACTATTCAATAATATCCTTCCCCATGTAAATATCAAAGTTAAAAATAAACACAACAGTCCTTAAGTAGCAATGAAGGCTCTGAGAGTTTTTGTCCTAAAAAGGAGCAGGCTGCATCATTAAAAAAAAAGATTCAGTATTATCAGATGCATCTAATGTATTGCTGCCCCGTGTCTGAGAGTTTGTGAAAGGGATGCAGCTTTCAACAAGATAACCCATTTCAAGATCCACTGGCAAAAGTAGTTGAAAGCAGCAAACGTTGAACGTGATGAGGACAGTGTTAAAACCTGAACAGAACACTACTGAAACGGAGGAGTTTAACCCCAGCGAGGGGTTTTTTAATTCTCCAAATCAACAATCCAGTAATTTACCCTTTTCCACATCCATCCTTTGAGAATGACATTGCAATACAGTTGCAGCTGCTCAATCTGACCGGTGTGGCTCTTCTGTCACTTAAGACTTCCAATAACCTCCTTCCTATAAACCTCCCCATCCACATCTAGTACAGATGCACATGCACAACAAGCCTCTGCTTTTCAAAGTATTCAGCAACTAATATATCTCCCACTTGGTTCAAAGCCCACAGCTACTAACACACATCTCTCTGACTGCACTCTTGGTGGGCTGTTTTTATAAAAGAGGTTTGTGCTTTTAAATAAGAGACAATCTATAACAGTTTGCTGTATTCACAAGACAGAGCTTAAGTTACTAGGGCTCTGTTTATACTTTTAGGGGTTCTCCCTAAACATGAGTGATCAGAGCTGAATTAAAAGCAGGTTTGATGGGACCATAGCTTGGGGACCTCAAGTTGTAGGAAGCCTTGACCTTTGGTAAGAGAACAATAACATCACCACCACCAAGCTCTTTTCATGCATATATCTTAAAGTGCTTTATAGAGTAGGTACATTAAGTATTATCCCCATTTTATCAATGGGAAAACTGAGGCACAGAACTGAAGCAACTTTCCCTAGGTCAACCAGAAGCCAGGAGCAGATCCAAGAATAAAATGCAGAAGTCCTAACTCTCCGGCAAACATCCTAACCTGGGCCATGTTGTCTCTCAGTATGGTAGCATCTCATGAAACATCAGAAATAATTTAATGATGTTAATCGGCTCCTACATATCTATCGTTATTCCATCATCAACAGCAGCATAATGTGCCCCCAAAGCATCCCATTTCAGTGCCTCCTGGGGATCACTGGTAGGGGCAAGACTGAACATGACAGATCCGTGTGAGATCTGGGCAACTCCAACAGAGACATTCAAACCTTTTGAGAGAGGACTGCTTAAAACCATCTGTAGCGCCATCGCCATTGTTAGCACATTATGGTCCAGATGTTATGTAACAGGGATACACCTGCCAAAGTGGGGATAGGGAAATAATTTCTCCCCAGGGCATATTAGCAGGGACCTTGGAGCGTTCTCACATTCCCCTTGAGCACTGAACAGGATTTACAGATTTACCACCCCAAACTATTAGTTTCTGGAACTTCAAAGGAAATACATATGGCAGACCTTGTTCCTTTCATTTTCTGTACTTCTACTTTATGTATTTTTGATTCTCATGGAGGTAAAACTTTGTAACGTACACTGGCACTGACGGGGTCTGCACGAAATTCTAGCCTTATGTCTCTCTGGGCCATGCAAAGGCAAAGTATGTGCTGTTCATAGCAATGCAGAGTTGCAAGGACAAAAAAATAAAACAGAACAGAACAAATAAAGGCATAAGAATTCTTTAACTTTTTTCCATTTCCACTTACTGGGGCAAGAACTCTTTACAAACACACATTAATATTTCATACCCAGCTCCGAGATGGCAGAACCATGACACTGTCACCTTAAGATTTAATGTAAAACTAAGGAGAGTGAGAGGTACACGAAAAGAACACAAAGACAGGTTAGTACTGGAGAGCCAAGGAGGAAAGAAATCGCTGATCGCCTCCCTGCCTATCCTCACCATCCAACACAAGATTAAATATCACTAACAAGTTATCAAAAACATGATCTTCTCCCAGTAGTTACCTTGGCTATTACAACAGTCAAGGTTCCTTCCCCACTCTGAACTCTAGGGTACAGATGTGGGGACCTGCATGAAAACCCCCTAAGCTTATTTTTACCAGCTTAGGTTAAAACTTCTCCAAGGTAAAAACTATTTTACCTTTGGCCTTGGACTTTATTGCTGCCACCACCAAGCGTCTAACAAGGAAAGAGCCCGCTTGGAAATGTCTTCCCCTGCCCCCCCCAAACCCTACACCCCCTTTCCTGGGGAAGGCTTGATAAAAATCCTCGCCAATTTGCATAGGTGAACACAGACCCAAACCCTTGGATCTTAAGAACAATGAAAAAGCAATCAGGTTCTTAAAAGAAGAATTTTAATTGAAGAAAAAGTAAAAGAATCACCTCTGTAAAATCAGGATGGTAAATACCTTACAGGGTCATCAGATTCAAAACAGAGAATCCCTCTAGGCAAACCCTTAAGTTACAAAAAGACACAAAAACAGGAATATACACAGCACAGCTTATTTTATCAACCATTTAAACAAAAGAATCTAACACATTTCTAGCTAGATTACTTACTAAGTTCTAAGACTCCATTCCTTTTCTGTTCTTGGCAAAAACATCACACAGACAAAGAGACCCTTTGTTTCTCCCCCCCTCCAGCTTTGAAAGTATCTTGTCTCCTCATTGGTCATTTTGGTCAGGTGCCAGCGAGGTTACCCTAGCTTCTTAACCCTTTACAGGTGAGAGGGTTTTTCCTCTGGCCAGCAGGGATTTTAAAGGTGTTTACCCTTCCCTTGATATTTATGACAACAACACAGGCAGACTTTTGATCTTAAGTTTATATCCTTAAGCAGGATAGGTTCTTTGGTGCTTCCTTTTCTTTCTTCCTTGTAAGCATTCAGTGAGCGGCTGCCAGCACACTCGCAAAGCCTTATCTGAGTTGGCCTGTGAACATTCATACATAGCTACAGCGTGACAAACTCTTACTCAACAGACCCACTGTAAGCATGAAGGAAGGAAATACTACGTGCTGCAGGTTACTGAGCATGTGCCAAGAACCGGAGACGCTCAGCCCAATATTTTTCTGTCCTCACTATTCTTCTCCTGGCCCTGTAAGCCTGAAACGCAGGCTTCAGTCATCATGGGAACTGATAGCCCCACAATCTATGCTGTGACAATGAGAATATTTAACATTTATATAGTGCTTTACAGTATCAAAAGCGGTTAATAAGGGAGTAATAACTGAGCTTTGGACAAGCCCACAGAATAGGCAGGAGCGTACCTCACTTGGGATAGAGGATTTGGCCCACAACCGAGGGCTTCTGTGAGCAAGAGAAAGGCGTGGACGGACTTCATGGCAAAGAGACAGAAGAGGAATACGAGGGGAGGAATAGAGGGGAATTTAGGACATATTCATTCATCTCCTTAGGATTATGGTAAGGTTGGAGGCTATGGAAATGCAGCAACTCCAGTCTAATTCACTTCTTAATGCTAAAAGTCCAACGAAAGATAAAAACAAAGCAGCACAGGCATTCAAGTGCTTCCTACTGCGGAGACAGAGACCTAGACGATTTGTTCTTACTTAGTCGCTTCCATTTTTATGAGACACCCTAAGTGGTGGCAGACCAGGAGACACCACTATATGCTACGTGGTGTATCTGAAGCTGTCCCCACTTGCAGTCATTACCAGGTGAACCACATATTCAGGCACAATATGGCCTTTTAAATGAATATACTTTCAGTGTACTGAATTGAAATGTAATAGGCTATGGCGGGTTAGAAACCCCAATTGCTCTTTAATTAAAGAGTGTTTTGTGTGTTCTTACCGGTAGTATGGCAGGAAGCCTCTTCAGAGGTGTCCGAAAGGGTATTACAGCCTTGTATGAAACAAACCTTGAACGGTTTTAATCCTTTACAAGCCACACACCTTCCAGCCAGACAGACATGGCTTCATTACATATGGCAGAGAAGGAAGAAAACGTAGCTTCTTATAAGTCCACTGTATATCCCTCTTTGGCAGTCTTCTTGTAAAAGGACTTCAAAGCAGTATGGTCAACAGCACATGGATACCAAGCACATAATCTTCCGGATACCCCAGTCCCCATCAAACTTCAGGAGTGAATTCAGAGCCTGGTTCTGCAAAGCCTCCTGCAAGTCCCATTGTTTAAGGGGTTGTCCACACATGGAGTTATTCATGAACAACTCCATGTGCAGATGCTCTTATTCTGGAATCAGAGTGCCTTGTTCCTGTTTATCTTATTAATCAACTCATTGATATAAGCAAGCTAAACAGAAATAAGGTATTCTGATTCCAAAAAGAATATCCACACATGGAGTTATTCTGGAATAGCTATTGTGCTTTAAATTCACACTGTACCTT